TTTCGTTGACTTCTCATCATCTGCTTACAACCCAAAGTCATTATTAAGTAAATCCACAGAAATAATTTGAACATACTTGCACAAAGTTCATTTTTAAGCAAAAATTAATTGATCGATATGTGTATAAAATAATAATAAATATAACAATAATAATAAACAGCGTCGGTGGCATAGCAGTTAGGCCGCTCGCCGACCATGCACATGGTCTGAAGTGTGATCCCTGGCCAACGCACTCCTTTACCTCGCTAAGCCAGAAATAATGCTGGTAAAGAGGAAAGGTTCGACATGAGGCTAGCAACCCCATCCTCTGAAAAATAAACACTGCTACAGAAACTTCAAGCCACTAGCTTAAAGCCCTTCGTTCCACTGAGGAACGTGAAGAAAAAAATAATGATAAACATTTTATCCTGAACAATAATAATCATACACAATGGAAACTTTAGGCGTTGCGTAATCAGATGAAAGAGAGGATGAAAATATCCAGTCACCAGGGTGAGGAAACACTGATAAATGCTTCCTTCTGAACACATAGATTGCGTTTCAGGCACTTGATGGAAATCGCTTCAGCAAACTTGAGGAGATATGATCATGAGCAAAATGTTGCGATGGAAGAAGCATCAGTAAATATTACTGTATAACACTGTGAGACTTTATTAAAATGAATTATACTCATAATCGAAACTTGAGGAGAATTGAACTTTGCCTATTGATAGTTTTGAAGGATCTTGTGACGTACACCTCATGACCCGTATCAAGGAGATGCCTGGTAATAGTACTACAGTAAGTGTATTCTCCCTTGAGACGTTGGCTTTTCACCTCATGTTCAGAAAATAGGAGGTGTGCCCTTCTTTCTGTTCTTCCTCAGATACATGTAAATTTGTAAACACAGTTGAAGTTAACATGAGAAGGTATGTCGACTTTTGACTGAGCCAAACAGCATGTTATCTGATAAACAGGAACCAACCTAGCTACAGGACAGGTTCCGACTAGGGGCGCACTCAATCTTCTGCTGACAACTGCTGCAATAATTTCACCTTTAAAATCAAGATGGATGAAGATGGGCTTCTTTCCCACTGTGATTTGTTTGACAAATGAGCCTTGACATTTTACATTCGTGTTAATGTACCTCTGAGTGTAACCGTTATTTCTCACCAACTTTTCGAGAAATATAAATTCGTCATCTAGTTCCTCTGTAGTGTTTATTTTCCTAGCTCTATATATTGACTAGTGCTGGTTTAAGGCTATTTAGACAAAAATTATTAAAATGAAAGTATTTTCTACTCCGAGTCGGCTTTCTATAAGTTGACCTCTGGAGACAACTATCTTCTAGGCGTTGCATGGTTATGTCGAGGAAATTGGACTTTCCATCACTTTCATGTTCCATAATAGATTCAATTTGCCGAATCAATCTCCGTCAATCGCCTGAAACCTGATTTATGCGTTCAGAAAAGTGCTGTCGTCAGTTTTTCATTGCCCACCTGGAAACTGGGTATTTTATCACTCTCGTTGATCTGATTAAGTGATACCCAGAAGTTTCCATTGTGTGTATTCATTGCTGTTCGGGATGAAGTGTTTACTATTATTGTTATTGTTAGCATTGTATGCACATATTGCTTGATTGGTTTTTGTTTAAAAATGAACTCTCTATGTAAGTATGTTAAAAATGTTTCTGTAGATATACTTAATGATGATTTTGGACTGTAAGCAACTGTTGAGAAGCCAACAAAATAAATGATGGTATCGTTTTTATTCTGCACAAACTATTGTTCTTACTTTATTCAAAGTCATTCAAGGGAATAAATGTATTGAAATAATTGTCTAGAGTAGTATGCCTTATCTTCGTTATCGGATTTCATCTGCCCTTTCAGTTCATGTCAGTGGAACCCAAGGATGTTACTGAAAATAAACATCTGCTGGAATTTATTTTTCTTCCCCTCAGTTTCCTCCTATAAATACAAATACATATTATTTGTGTAATCAATGATTTCACTTCAAGGCATTGGGCAAGCAAAATGACGATCCAGTGATTAGATAATTTCCATGTGACAAATAGTCGCTGTTAGTTGACGTGATTGCCATCCGACTGTTCATACCACTTAGCAGTTAGTTCCAAATGGCTTGTACTGCTAGGATCATTTATGGCTTAATATATTTTGATTTAGTTAAAACAATTAGTCCCTTTGATGAATATGAATAAGGCATTGAGAAGACAAATTTCGCGAGATGATATCGTCATTTCTCAGTTTCTTTACAACCGCTTTACAACTAACATGGTTCACAATAATAAAATAAAGTTTATGACAATTATTCAGTTAAAACAAAAGTACATACAAATGACCAATCATATTTAAATAGGTCAAGTAGTCCATGGTAGGCGAAGATTGAAGTCTATTGATTTTTGTAAACACAGTTTAGGCTGTATGTGATTAATCCCCCAAAGTGCTTCCATCAACTTCAATAACCAACCTTGAATTAGAGTTATGTGAAATAATTGTGAAACAGTCGTAAATATTGATTTTGTGACCAGACATTAATAAGTGTTTTGCAATAGATGATGCTGGATTTCTATTCAGATTAATCGCATTGGGATTTTCTATATCATTTAGTAGCCATCTTGGAACATGTTCCTTTCGACGAAATTGAAACATTCTGTTGGTTCTACCTATATAAGTGTTACCGCAGCTGCAGGTGAACTTGTAGATGCAGTTTGAAATAGAGTCCACAGAATTTCGTCCTTTGATCGTAGGTAGGTACAGGGATCGATAATGTTAGGCAAGGGAGAAAAAGAGATGTGGCGTAGAATGTGCGTTTGATGGCTGACCGAAGTCTTTGAGCTGTCTACTGCATAATCTGGTTGCCGTTGAGTGGCAGGTTAATAAAGAAAGCTATCTTGTAAAGAAGCTACGAAATGATATTATCTCTGGAAATTTGTCTTCTTAATGCCTTATTCATATTTCGATTTGAATATTTCAGCTTTCAAATAGAAATCTTATTTCTCTTTTTTCTTGACCTGTATAGTTTTCAAACTGTCATTTACTCTGCTTTAATTATTATAAACTGCATTATACTGAAACTGAATAAAAAATTAGCTCTTCTGTTTGATCAGTGCTTAGAGTGAATTGGAATAAATTTGGAATAAGACGTGCAGCAGGTTGAAGGCGAGGCAGTAGCTCATCGAAGGAGAAGACATTGAGAAGTGGTTGCACTATGTCATGAATTGGCAGGAGTTAGAATTCATAGGCTGGCCATTGGATAGGGTCTCATTGGATTAATGGTCAACGAGCTAGCTCACTAGTCTTGTAACCAGAAGGTCCTGGCTTCGAACCCTATCTTGTGCGTCGGTGGCACAGTGGTTAGGACTCTCGCCGACCATGCACATAGTCCAGGGTTCGAGCCCACGCCGGCGCACACCTGATATCAATGGTCGGCCTGCAAAATTTGGGCTACCGATATCCATGCTGAAAATTCCATACTTGTACCGAAAATACAGTGTGGAATCAAGCTGTAAATCAAAAAAAAAATATGTGGGTGCGTACTGCTGAAGAGTCCTAAGCTGGGATGAAACAGCTGGCTGTCCGGTTCTCCTGGGTTTTCCAGTGGTTCTCTAACTCATATCAACTCATGAGATGAAATCCTCCAACCAGTCGAACAAAATCCCTACAAAAACCAATACTTGAGACGAATTCTGTCTAAAATGGATGCATAATAGAATAAAATACTCTGAGTTTAATGGTACAATACTTGAATTAGGAAGTACAAGGGCTAATCATATTCAAGTTTTAATATTATTCTGTCTGTCTAGCCTGCTGATTACACTTCAGTGTCCATTTTGCAAACATTATATAAGAGTAATCTAACAAATGAACGTACCAATAAAAAGCTTATATAATTAAATTTATCTAATTTATGTAGTGAGTTGGCTTTTATAAGTGTAGAAAACTAACTAACACTCTTGTATGTTCACCGAGAAAATAAATCTGTTTCAAACTTCCACTTATAATGTTATATATATATATATATATATATATATATATATATAGCACCAGTGAAATTTACTTTTGCTTAAGAATTCCTCTTACAAGTAATACTACTCATTGGTCTGTTTTATGAGTATGCATGATCGACAAGACTAAACTTTAAACACCAAGTAGATGTGAATGCACCACTGATCTTGGAGAGAGGTATTGAGATGATAAGTTATGCTGGTGTTTTTAGCCCTAATCCACCTTGAACCAACCTTAATGTCATTTTAATTTGGTTAACCTGACTTTAATCTTCCCGAAACCTAACCTGAAAGTGACAAGATATCGTGTTCAATCGCTTCAATCAGCATTCTTATTTCTGGTCTCAGTAACTTTCTGACTTAGTGTCCCAGGGTCATTATTGGCGTTTGTACTCCGTCTGTGCCTAAAAATAAACATCCAAGAGGCTACTTGTACATTTTACTGTGCCGTTGTTTACAAGTCACAATAAGCTAAGTAAAGACTTGCTCTATTCAGGTAATTCTAGGGAGAAGTCGTGACCAGTAGGGTGCAGCAGGTCAGGTGTGCGAATAAATACTCGCCGAAAACATTGGCTAGTGGTTGCGCTATATCGTGAATTGGCAGAAGTTAGAATTCATGGGCCATTGGATTGGGTTCCAGTGGCTTGATGGTATGCGAGCTCGCCTTGTAACCAGAAGGTCCTGGGTTCGAACCTCGGCAGTGGCTGCGTACTGCTGAAGAGTCCCAAACTAGGACGAAACAGCTGTCCAGTACTCCCTGGTAGTTTTCCAATGTTTCTCTAACTAATATCAGCCAATAATGAAATTCTGTAACCAATCGAATCCCTACAAATCAACACTTGAATTGAAAATGGAGACATGTTATTAAGTTTTCAATAAGGAATCTTTGGTTATTTGAAAGTTTAAACTGACTATGAGTTATGACTGTGACAGTCGATCACTTCGTTTTCAGTGGATGTTACTTCATCGTATTAATGAATTTCTTTTTACATTTTAGGTGAAGCACTATGTGACTTTTGGGTGTGTTCAGATGTACTCTGTTGTACAGCATCTATACTTCATCTAGTTGGCATTGCTTTAGATCGTTATTGGGCTGTTACAAATGCAGAGTATATTCGTCGACGAACTGGTCGTCGAATAGGCATTATGATAGGCATATTCTGGTTTTTATCCGTTTTAATATCGATTCCTGCACGATTTCATACAACTAGATCGTATAATTATGGTGGATATACACCTGATATGGTGCTGGATGAACCACCAAGTTGTCGAATTAATCAAGAGCATGGTTATACAGTATTTTCAAATATTGGAGCATTTTATATGCCAATGATATTCATAATTGGTATATATGCTAGAATTTATCAAGTAGCTAGAGCAAGAATTCGACGTTCCGCCTTTAAACAATCCGCCACGTCCAGTTTAAGTATGACACAAAAAAAGCAAAGAGAAAAACATTCTCAAAAGTTATTTAGAAAAACTCTATGCTCATCATGCTGTCGATACCATAAGTATGATGAAAAAAGATCAATTAAATTGGCTTATGTAAAAAATAATCCTCAAGCAATACAGAATAATATGAACCAAGAGAATCCTTCGTCTTCGCCTATCGCCGATACAGATTGTACTGAAGTTGCTAGGAATACTAGTCAGATTGCAGAAATTTCTGCTGTGAAACAGCCAACAGCAACTACGACTACTACTACTACGTCAAGTGATAACAAATATTGTTCTTTTATGAATCAGTTAAACAATGATAAATCTATACCTTATGTTGATGATGTAGAGAACAAATCAAATTACTGTCATTCTATTGAACAATTGAACGGAAACTACATACAAACAAAATCAGTCCTGTTAAATGATGACAGTGTCAGACAAAATTTGATCAATTGTGAATGTAAACCAAATATTTACACAGAAAGGTGTTTAAATAAGCAAAGAAGAAAATCTAATCAAAAAGAAATGAAAAAATCAAATTCCCTGATAAAATTAGATTATAGAGCTAATTCTTCATCTGATGGTCAAGAGTATTCAAATAAATTTGATACACCAATCTATTCATCAGCATCTAGAAACACGAGTTCTGCACCACCGATTCTTATTAATTTAACAAATTCTAGTACATTTTTCTCTGAGCTGACAAATTCTAATTCTCAGTTATCTGAAACACCTACAACAGATCATACAAATTCAGTGATGTGGTCGTCGTCATCATCATCATCATCACCAGGATCCTCCTCTTCGTGTCCATCGCTTCCATCGTTGACATCTTCTTCATATTCAAGATATTCATCTTTACCAGTTGACAGTCAATATCATTATCATCAACGACACCATCATCATCATCATCACCATCATCATCGTGACTATCATCATCAACAGGATCATGAAGGTCTTCATAATCACCACCATCAACATCACCACCACCATCACGATCATCATCATCATCATCATCACCAGGGACATCATCATGGCCACATTCATAAGAGAAGGTATTGTGAAGGAAGAATGTCTAAAAAACAACAAAATCGATATTTAGGTAAATTAAAGACACTTTGTAATTGTTGTTCTTCAGTATTCGACAGTAGTAAGTCAAATCATAACCATCTATCAGATAAAGGTAAGGTATCTACTGAAAATTCAAAAGTTGGCCAGTTAAAAGATTCAAAATTCTGTTGCTTTAAGCATCATCTGAGCTCTCCTGTGAATAATATTTCTTTAACTAATGACCATGAAACGTGCTACAGCGTTGGAGATCCCAGTGTGGTGTCTCAGTTTGCACAGCGGAAAAATAATAATATCAGTGCTGTTAGTACTGATAATAATGATAATAATAATGCTAGTAAGAAAACGGAGAATCATATTGTTTTGGATATAACGAAAAGACAAAATGATGTACATGGTAAGATGTGCCATTTATTACATTTAGAAAATAGTCATCGAAAATTAGCTAAATCAGTATCGAATTTAATCTCGAATAGAAATGCCGATTCATCGACGCCGACGACAACAACAAATCCAGTAAAATTACCGCAACATCTACACCTACAACCAGCATTAATACTCACTCCAGTAACGTCAGCCTTACCACCGTCTCAACCACCACCAGCACCACCCATACCACCGTCAAATACACAGAATGATGAAACTACAACTACTATCACATCAAACCTGATGTCACTACAACAGACACAAGTGAATCGTGAACGTCTGGAAACAAAACGTGAACGTAAAGCCATCTCAACACTGGCTATAATCACAGGATGTTTTCTATTATGTTGGTTACCATTTTTTATTGTTGCCTTAATATCACCATTTACAGAAAATTTTACAATATCTAAATTTGGTCAAAGTACAATATTATGGTTAGGTTATTCAAATTCATTATTAAATCCTATTATTTATACAATATTTTCACCAGATTTTCGTAATGCTTTCAGAAAAATTTTATTTGGACGATATAATTTACGTTCATTGTCTAGGTGATTTTGTGTATGTATCCTTCAATACATATATTGAGAGATTTATTGTAATTAATTCAACATTATTATTATTATTATCATTTCTATACTATGCAGAAAAAATGAAGATTGTTTAATGCAATTTTAACATTATAATTCTACTTGCCTTCTTAAGATGTTTCGAATTGTTCCAAGGGAGCAAGCAACAAGAAATTATTTGATTACTATAAGCCAAGTATGACCTTAACCTCTCACTTAAATCTACTTCAAGCGAAGTGAAACATTCCATAGAGAAACAGATGTAACGCAAATTCTACAAATCTATAACTATGTACCTCATATTATGCTAAACTTATAAACTACTTTAAACTTCACCTAACCATTTACAACTTTGGTTTTATGTGTAAAAATGACAATTCACTTATTTGCAGTATTAATCAAAAAGCATCTGCAAGCTTTTGAAGTACCCTACACTGGTCATATGTATGCATACATAAGCAATATTAATCCATATTTTTAACAACAACAAAAAAAAGTATATTCTCTCAGATTAAGAATGTTGACACTTGTGTATTTGCCGCTTATCTTTTGTCGTAAACGTTTTCTTGATCAAAATATAATTTTAAAAAAGGTGAAAAATTATGATCGGTTTTCTTTTCCTGATCAAGATTCAAGTATTTCATTGTCAGGAAAATTGCCGTGTTTTCGAGGTTTACTCACCAAACAAAAGTTGTCGTGAAAAGAATGATGGTGTCGCTTAGAAATACATACTGTAGATATACTGGAGATTTGTAGCTCAGGTGGATGGTTTTAATGTGTTTGTGTTCTCTGAGCTAGCTGGATGGTTAATTTGCTGAGCTTTCGCTGCCCCGCCAAAAGGCAACATCTTCAGCGAACACTTCAATATGTTGAAGTGAGCTTTTAGATTTCTCCACGAGTTTATTAATCATCTCTCCTGGTGACCTTGGACGTGATTGGTTGTTTTTGTGTGTTTTCACACCTTCTAGGTTACTTGTATTGGAATTGCTTGTTTCTTTGGCTTGAACTTTGACCTTTTTGTGTGTGAGGTTTCTTTCTTATCGGTTGATAAATTTTGTCTATCTCGATGTGTCTATTGATTGATGATTCACTGGAATACCAAGCTTCTAAAAATTCTCTAGCACTTTTGGTGTTTCTTCTGTCTAATATTTGAACGTTGTCCCAGTCGAATTGATGTCTGTGGTTGTCTGTATGCAGTGATATGAGGGAGTGAATGTCATGTCTTTTGACAGCTAGCTTATGTTCATGGATACGAACACGAAGGGGATGTCCACTTTGGCTAATGTAGTATTTTTCGCAGTCGTTACAACTTATTTTGTAGATGATGTTGGTTTTATTTTCTTTTTTTGTTGGTGAGTCTCTTGGTTAACATAGACATGACATCTACTACCTCGTACCACTACATACAAAAAACATAGACATCAATTCGACTGGGACAACGTTCAAATATTAGACATAAGAAACACAAAGAATACCAGAGAGTTTATAGAAGGCTACCTGGTATTCCAGTGAATAGTCAATCAATAGATACATCGACATAAACAAAGTTTACCAACCGATAAGTACGAAACCTCACACACAAAGGGCCAAAGTTCAAGTCAAGGAAACAATCAGTTCCAATACAAGTAGCCTAGATTAGAGGGTGTAAAAACACACAGAAACAATCATTTACGTTCAAAGTGACCCACTAGGAGAGATGATTAATAAATTCGTGGAGAAATCTAAAAGCTCACTTCAACATATTGAAGTATTCGCTGAAGATGTTGCCTTTTGGCGGGGCAGTGAAAGCTCAGCAAATTAACCATGTAGCTAGCTCAGAGAACACATCCAAATGAAAATACATATTTTAAGTACATAACAGACAGGTAAATTTTAACAAAGCTTTTCAAACTACTTAATATTAGTTTTAGTAGTAGTACAGTTGATGTACTTGAATAGATTTCTAGTATGAGTAATGGAGTTATAACATTACCTGACTCTCCTTTGTTCATTGGTTACGTTTCTGTCATCTTCGAATTGTATTGATGAACAGGCATAGTAGGATTAGCTTTTCATAATTTTTTTAAGTAGCTTGACTTTTGGAACATTTCATTGTTATAACAACAGAGTATGACGGGTAATCAAATAATCTGTTCGACCGAAAACTTGTCGATATATTTATTTTCAATTAATTCCTGGTTTCCGTTCGACTCTATCTATGGAAACTTGAGCATAAATAAGCATCGTTATGTTCCAACTCATTTACTTCCATAATTTATCTGAACAGTTGGTCATCATAAGAGACAAATTACGATTTTTAATGATCTAAATTTCGTGTCAGATTGAACGAGATGATCAAATGATTAAACGTTTGGAGAATCGAACTATCATAATCATACGATCACGTACTTATGTGCATAAAGGTAGCTGGAGATAAGCAGTCTCTTGTGTCACTTTAAATATGATACATCTTCACTACTTATTCAGTTATTAATTTATTTCAGTGTAAATCTCATCAACAATGGTCGTTGAAAGTGAACAGATGTGTCCATAGTTGAATATGATGCTAATGTGGAACATAAGAGTATTTTGATTCGGCCCTCGTTCGGAATCCTAATGAGGAACGATGGGTGAGTAGTCTGAGGCTGACATGTAGGTGATGATAGAAAGAAAAAATGACAGCTTGTGTGTAGTCGTTGAGTCAGATGAAAGTGACAGTGGAGAACCAAGTGGAACTGAGATATGACGCTTAAGTCGGTGCGTCGGTGGCACAGTCGTTAGGACTCTCGCCGACCATGCACATGGTCCGAGGTTCGAGCCCTCGCCGACGCACACCTGATATCTATGGTCGGCCTGCAAAATTTGGGCTACCGATATCCACGTTGAAAATTCCATACTTGTACCAAAAATACGGTGTAGAATAAAGCTGTAATCAAAATAAAATAAATAAAAAAAAGTCATATAATCAATTCGAAATGCAGGTTCTGAACTACCTTATATGATATACTACGTGACTGGTTTGCTTGACAGCTCACAAATGAATGGAAGTCCAGTGGCCCAGAATATAGTGGTTAGTACTCTTTGAGTCTTTCAAATAATTAACATTTAGTCACTTTGAATAGAAAGGAAGCAGACAATGGTCATGTCAACCCGTGGAAATGGTAGGATTCATATAAGGCGTTAAACTACAAATATGTCAAAACAGTTGAACAGTAGCTATTCAACTATTACAAGATAGCTGCATTCGAATTATTCGAAGAGAGTATATCTCTACTTGGTAACCAGGAGAAAGTAAGGCTTTTTAATGACTTACTGAGTGGTCTTTTTTGACGATCACATTAAATTAAATAAAAGCAGATATGTTTCCTTTCGAGACTACAGTAACAGAAAGTGGTTAGGTAAACATTCAAAGGAGAGCGAATACATTGAGTTTCGTGGACTGTTATTTCGTTGTTTTTTTAAATAGCTAGCCGATTGAATTGGTCTATTTTAATAGGAGATGGATTAGTCACACAATTAGGAGACCGTCGAATGACATTGCTGGTCAGAACATCACTTGAGTGAAATCTAAATGCGAAGTGACAAGTGGGTCGTCGGTGCTAGGGTGAAGTGCAGGAGATCGTGTGAGGAAGAGACTAGAGAATTTGATCAGTCATGGACCTAGCTGAAGAGGACGATAAAAGATAGGAAAAAGTGGAGATGTGTTGGTTGATGAAGCCCTATGTTCCATTCAGAACCCAGGGCAACAATTATCATTGCTATTATTGTTATTACAAAAACAAACTGATTTAATACTTTATTATTGAAGATTAAACAAAATATGATTAAAATAAAGAAAAATAACTAAGAAAAACGGAATTAAACAAGTCTGGACTCGTCCTGTTTTTAGAGATTGAACTAGTTTATTTTGAAGAAATAGTTTCGAAATCACGATATGTATATGTAACGAAGGATTCTACGGGTACATATAAGTCCATCTTCCCTCTAATATAATCAGAAAACAAGATCTTCGGAAACAAATTTATAAAGGAAATTATAAGCCATACCTGTTTATTAGTCATGATCAAACCAAAAACAAAGACTGATATTCTTGGTTAAATATATTTGTACGTGACGGCGAACTACCTCGAATGGTGGCCACACTGCAAACCTGACTGCTAGAATTCAGTCTGCATCAAAGAAACGACTAGACACCGCACACTAGTTACTAGTGTCCAATCAAAGTATCCAATACTTACAGGTCAACCACAAGCCCAAATAGCTCAGTGGTAACGTCTCTGACTGCAGTATTCACTGGTTGATGCGGGTTCGAATCCCAGAAGAGACATCAGTTCCTTCAAGACTGCAGATACGCCTCACCGACTGATGAGTTCCAACTAGTATGAAACCTAGGTCGAGCAAGGCTTCCTGTTGATTGCCTCCAACCATCTAATGTTATCAAATCAAAGTGCACTATGATGGCGAGCTACCTAGAATGATGGCCACACTACAAATCTGACTGGTAGAATTCAGTTTGTACCAAAGAAAGGAGTAGGCATATCACACTAGTTACTTGTGTCCAATCAAAATTCCTACCTTCATACAAGCAAGTACTGTAATTTAACTAATTTACCATTTACAGCTTACTTCATCATAAAACAGCAATAAAACAAGCTATGCAAATAACGAAAAAAAATAAAACGAAAGAAATAGAAGAAATAATGCGTTTTATAACCATTACCATGTGTTTTTCTGAACTATAAATAACTTCTTCTAACTGAATATATACATTACTTATTACTAGTACTGCATGTATAACCACTATAATATACTGGTTGTAATACAAATAGTACTAATTTTGTGAGAAATAGAAGAGTTAACAACAATATCTGCTAAGGTGAAAGGTAAAGAAAGGAAGAAAGAAAGTAACCATATCTGATGTTCATTATCTTATTTCACCTAGATATATTTTAATTTTTTACAAATGTGATTGGCAAATTCTAAAGAAAGCTGTCAATCAAAAAATTAAAGGCAACACAAATGCGCGCGCACACGCTTGCTCGCTCTCTCGCTCTTGCATATACACCACATTTCAGTAATAACTGGAATGATTTTTTTTATTCAAACTGGGGGAAAAAGCCCTTAGGTGAAGAGATTTAAAAAAGGCAACAACAGGAGAAGAAACGAATAATTCAATTATCAATTGTGTTATACATCTAGTTACATGATAGAGAACTCTATTTTCTATGTGTGCACTTGTTTCCTATGCCGCCAGTATTGATTGTACTTTCTATCTAAGTATGAAATGAACTAAGATTTAACCTCATAGATTATTAACTGAAGGAACATTATTTTTATTACATCAGCTGTGTATTTTAACTTTTAGCCTATCTCTCTGTTGTCAGTGATGAAGTACTCTAATTGCGAGATAGGCAGTCAGGTATGAAGAAGTGTCCAAAATGAAAATTTATTATTATTATTGTTCCTTTGGGGTTCCTAGTGGAAAATAGACCTTCAACTGCACGTCTCCACTTGCTTCTGTCTTCTGCTGCTGTACTTTTCACCTGTATCCATGTTAGTCCATACTCTTTCAACTCCTCTCCACACGATCTCCTCCATGTCACTCTCGGATGTCCT